AGGCTGGCCTCAATTAGAGCCAGGGCTTTCTCGGCTGCGGCTCCAATCTGGTGGACCGCTCTGTCACAAGAGACTAGGGCCCTGCAGGACCTGACATCTTTCCGCAGGGCCTGCAAGACAGAGCTGTTCCACCAGGCCTTTGGTCAGGGCGCAGCCTGACCCCCTCCTCTGGCAATCTGCACAGAATTTTGCTTAATGGTTGCCATCAATTTGATTTTAATTAATTTTATAATGAATGTTTTTAGAATGTTGGATTATTCTGTTTGTTGTTAGCCGCCCTGAGCCCAGCTTTGGCTGGGGAGGGCGGGATATAAATAAAAATTTATTATTATTATTATTATTATTATTATTATTATTATGCTCTTCAAAGCCACACACACCTTCGGCTGAAAGCCAAAGTTCAAAGTTCTGGGCCATTTTCGCAGAATACACAGCAATGCTGTCTGAGGGACAAGACTTATCCCCTTTTCAGAAAGCCCTCCGATAGTTCTCAGGATGAAGTCCATGCCTTTGCATGACTAATTTTTTAAAGCGCTCATAGTCATGGATTTGGGATGAGGGGAGATGGCCCATCAATTCGGCTAGGTCTCCACAAATTAGGGAGCGCAAAATTGGCATGTACATTTTCAGGGACACCCCCATATCTCGGCAGGTTACTTCAAAAAGAGTCAGATAACTCAGAACATCAGTGGGGGGCTGATATTTCGGAAATGCCCCCCAGTTAAGGTTGCTCAAAGTTAGCCCCGGAGGAGACTGTCTGCCATTTTCTCCTGGTGGCTCCTCGTGATTGTAGTCATACCTTGGAACAGGATGTCGAGACGCTCATCCCTCCGGACGCAGGTGTTCCGCCGCTGCGTATACACGCGAGGGTCCAGGGAGAAATTCCTCCTCCTTCTCCGCCGCGTACCATCGCACCGCTCCACCAGTTTCCCAAGCTCTTACTGGCGAGTAGACCCGTCCTGGGGTGGGGGAACGCCGTCTCACCGTTCTGCGAATGTCGCACGATGGACACTCTCGACGGTAGTCTCCCACAGACACTTCTTGCAGCTGCTGCGGCAGATCTTGATACTCATAAGCCATCCGGCTGACTCTCTGCCCCATAAGAATGGTTTTGCACCCACTCAACCGCATCGCCCTCTGAAAACTCCATCTCTTTAGGCTCTGCATAAACAAGATAGTTCCCTCTAGGACGTGTGGAGGCCATCCCAGCTTCCACTTCCTCACAAGGTGACAAGGGGTGGTTAACTGGGCGCCCCTCTCTCTCTCCAAGTTGCAGGACTCTTGCCCACCCTTCCAAACAGTTCTTAATTCGCTGGCATCCACCAGCTCTCTCTCCGACTCGGGATCTCTCGAAAACCAGGAGGCGGATTCCACTCTGGGACTTGGAGGTTGGGGGGGGGGTTGTCTCCGAAGGAAGGGAACTGCCTTCTCCACCCGGACCCCATTCGTCCACAGTTCGCAAAGTGTATTCCTGGGGAGCCCCGGCTTCCATAATTCCTGACTATCTCTATCCCCCCCCAAAATAAAACGCCTTAGTACACAAAAGATTCGTGCCAATTTAAAATCAAAGTGCCTTTCTGCAGGGAAGTTCCATCCCACCGCTGCCACCATGTAGTAAAGGGGCTCCTTTACTAATAATAATAATAAAAAAATTTATTTATACCCCGCCCTCCCCAGCCAAGACTGGGCTCAGGGTGGCTAACAACCAATAATAAAAAAAACGTTGATTAAAATACAATTTAAAAGATTAAGATACAACATTAAAACATTAGGATGAAGCCTCTTCACGGGAGGGAAAAGGAAATAGAAAGAGGGGGAGGGAATCAAACTGATTCTAAGCCAAAGGTCAGGTGGAACAACTCTGTCTTACAGACCCTGCGGAAAGAAATCAGATCCTGCAGGGCCCTGGTCTCATGAGACAGAGCGTTCCACCAGGCCGGAGCCAGTGTTGAGAAGGCCCTGGCTCTGGTTGAGGCTAATCTAACTTCCTTAGGGCTCGGGACCTCTAGGGTGTTGCTATATATGGACCTTGAGGCTCTCCGTGGGGCATACCAGGAGAGGCGGTCCCATAGGTACGACGGTCCTAGGCTGTGAAGGGCTTGAAAGGTCAAGATTAGCACCTTAAATCTGACCCTGTACTCCACCGGGAGCCAGTGCAGCTGGAAAAGCGCTGGGTGAATATGCTCCCATGGCAGAGACCCCGTGAGGAGCCTCGCTGCAGCATTCTGCACCCGCTGGAGTTTCTGGGACAGATTCAAGGGCAGCCCCACGTAGAGCGAATTACAGTAGTCAAGCCTGGAGGTGACCATTGCATGGATCACTGTGGCCAGGTTGGGGCGGGAAAGGTAAGGGACCAACTGCTTGATGAGGCGAAGGTGGAAAAATGTCACCTTGGCTATTGTAACCTGCGTCTCCATGGAAAGGGAGGTGTCAAGGATTACACCCAAACTCTTAACCGAAGGCTTAAATGAATAGAAGGATGAATAAGGTCTCTAAGGAAATGGAGGCCAGAGATTTTCAGTTTGTTTCCCAACCTACCTCGTCTGTGTTTTCCTGATGAACACAAAAACATGAATGGGTCTGATCCATTCTTCACATTCTGATGTTCCTGTTTCTCTTTTCTCTTTTCTCATGGACAGGGAATTGATTTTGATGAAGATCAAATATCGGAAATCGGCCTGGAAGATGGGGAGGATCTTCCTCCAAGGTAATCCTGTGCTAATCCCCTCCCCCATAATCAATTGCTTTTAAAAAAAAACCCCGGTCCATTTCTATGGTGGTGGTGCTTGGGGTCTTTGAAGGATGGGAGGCAATAAACCCTTTTGACAAAAGTGCTACTCCTGTCTCCCCTCAGCATCCCAACCACAGCTTCTCTGGATGCGGCTGATCTTCCTCCTGAAAGCGGCAGCAGGGACCAGCTGAACAACAGACTTACGGATTTCGTCGCAACAATAAAGAGTGGGATGATCCGAAGGAAGGCGCTCCGAGATCTTTGCGCCTTCCTGCAGAAGATCCAGGAACATGTGAGTTGCGTGGCGAGTTCCCGCCTCCCCCACGGAAATAAAGACACAGGACACCAGTATTTTAGGTCAATGGGCAAAATTAGGCCACAACTTTATTGATTACAGGAATTGAGTGGTATTGGCTTAGGCATTGGTCCTATCGACTAACCGGCTTCAGCCTGATTGCTAGAAGACCGGCAAGGGTTAACCACCAGTAGGGGGAGTCCTGCTGATGTACATCAACTAGGAGCTCCCCCGGAGTCACCGCTCGGGGGCATGCCTTAGGCCCACACCTCCATAGGCTTCGGATAGGGCAACGCCCCACGGAATCCTTTACCGGACTACCCTTCGATATGGGGGAAGGTGATGGCGCTTCCTCCCCCCCACTCATCTGCATAACAATACCCTTACCAATGCCTAACCGCCAATGCCGAGGAAGTTGTGACGATTTGCTACGAGGTAGGCAAAAAGCCAAAAGGCTGGTGCCAATTTGCCAAGTGGAAAAAATTCCTACCAGGCCCCTTGACGGCGACCAACCGAAGTCCATAGCAATGTCAAAGAGCCAAACCTAAAGGGTGGGAGGGTGGGAAAACCGGAGCAGCTGGGGCGCTGGGAGAAAGAGGGAAATCCTCAGGCGCGCCGGCCCTAAATAGCGCGGGCCACGCCTCCCAGGCCAGCCGATTGGCTGGCAAGGGAGATGACACGCCCGAGGATTCCCTGCTCTCACGGGGGGGGGGGCTGCAAGCCAGCCCCGAGTACGTGGGGGGAGGGCATGAAGCCCACAACCCCACCTCCTCTCCAGCTCAGAAGTGGCTTTACTGAAGGGAAGCATTGCAACCATGCAGGGCTGTCAAGGCCTTCAGGCTGCTGCTTCTAGGCCCATCCTGCAAGGTGCCCAAGGGACGATCAGGCATCCCAGCACATACTCAATTTGGAGAACAGAGCTGGGCCATAGTGAGTAAAGTGGCTGAGAAAAGAAGAAAAAAAGCAAACATTAGGAAAAGAGGGTTTAGGTTTAGGATGCTAAATGTTCTGGAATGTTTGGAATAAAAATGTTATAGGAAAAATGGTGATCAGTCCCTTCTCTGGGTTTCTTCTCAGCCATCGGCAGTGATTCATGCATGCTCCTATGGCCAACTGGTGGCGATTTCCTGCCTTTGTGCATTGGATCCGGACCCGGAGAGCAGGCAGCGGGCAGCAGAGGCTCTCTGCCATCTTCTGCCCATCCTGCGGCACAACGAAGGTAAGACTGGAAGAATGCATCCCAGCATGGGGTGGGGTGAGCAAGACCCAAACTAACCCTTTGGCTTTCCTTTGCAGAGACAATGGCAGGAACGTTAAGGAACCAAATGCTCATCATCGGAGCTGAGCAGGTCCTCGAATCCACCGGAGGACCGGTTCCTGGGCTGTTCGTGAATAACTGTCACTCTCTTGTCAGGGTAAGTCGCTGTCTCTCAAGCCACATGTTCTGGGTTCCGCAGAGGCAGCACCTGGGCTTTCTGCTCCCCAGCCCTGCCCTGTGGGCATCTCTGACCTTCCTCTCTCGCTTCAGGTCTTTGGCGCCTTTCTCCCTGCGGCGCAGCTCTTGGAGGCCATGTGCTTCCTGGCCAGAGACCTGGTTCTTGAGAGCAGCTTCGACCCCTTGGACATCTCCCACCTGCTGCAAGATTTCATCAAGCAGTTTGGCGGCACAAAAGTGAAGGTAAGGCGTCTTCAAAGGTAGGAGAGAAGAAGATTCTCTGCTTTGGTGTAGGGGAGGCAACCAATACTCCCCAGGACCCTGAGTGGTACCTTGGAAGGAAGAGGCTGTGGTGGCACAGGTCAAGGGTCCCTCTTTCAATGAGGGATGGAGACAGCCCCGCTTCCTTGTACTCTCCAAGCAACCCTCTCCTTTTCTCTGACAGGTGGAGGTGCTGCTGGAGGCCTTCTATAAGATCGCCCAGGGGCCTACAGTGCAAGGCAGGAACATGGCCGTCTTCGCGTTCTCCATCTTGGCGCACCACCACCTGGACCAAGTGGTGCAATATCTCCTCCAGTTTCCCTTCGGGTATGGAGCCCTCCAGGTTCTACTGGGCTAAGGGGGAGGTTGGCAAGCTGCAGGGCTTGCTCAGAAAGCCCTTGCTGCCATTTCCTCTCTCTGGAGCATGGCAGCAAGCAGAAGACTTGAATCTGACCATTGCTCTTGTTTTTGCATTCACAGAGACTGCGAGAGAGTATGGAAGGAGGTTTTACCATCGGCCGATCCAGAACAACTGCTCAATCTCATGGCCGAGCAGATTTACCAAAGCCCCTTGGCGGAATCTGCCACCCAAGTGGTAAGGACCAACCACCTGCTTTCTGGCTTCCTTCTTCCCAGGGTAATATCGAGGGGTTCCTGTATTCTGCAGAAAAGCAGAGAAAGTGACTTGCACCCCTCTCTCTTCCAGCAACATCTCACCAGCCTGTGGCACGCCATCCTCAGGATGGAGGACTACAAGGCAGCTGTGCGCCAGAACTTCCCACAGCTGCTGATCGCTCTCCTGGGGATGGTTGTCAACTTCCACTACTATCAGGAATTCCTTGGGTGAGTAGTGTGTTGCAAAGGGACCAATGGAGTCCTTTCCCCTTCAGCCTCGGGGGGTTTCCAGTCCAGCTTGGTTTTCCAAGGGAGGCTCTCCTTCAGGCGGCTGCTGGGGAAGGAATGTGAGTGTGTGCCAATGACCCTCCTGGTAAAACTGGCCTTTCTTTGGTTCCAGAGGGGCTAAGGAAGTTCTGCACCTCCTTCTTGGCACCACTGGAGAGCAAGTGGAGGCGGCCATCGTTGACCAACTTTTCTGCCGGGAGACTTTCAGCCAGGGGTTGTCTGCCATGGTGAGGTAAGAGGAAGAACGCGGTGACCTTCCCCAGTGGTCTGGCAAACAGAGCTGAAGGCACGGGATCGGACTGTGCCCGTTTGCTTCCTGCGGTGTCTTTCCCTTCCTTACCAAGATCTCCTTCTCCATTTCAGAGCCGTCGGAAAACAACGCTGGTGGATCTCTCCCATGGTGGAAAGCATCATCGCTGCTCTCGAGGACCAGGAATTTCCTGGGATGCCACAAGTCGCGGCAGCTATCTACATTGAGGTGAGGGGGACTGATGCGGGCGGAAATGGGTGCAGCAAGGAGGCCCTGGCTTGGTTTCTGCCGAGTGTTGGGCTACTTTGAGCCTAAGGACTGTTGCCTGTTTTAGTGCTCCTCAGAGTAGACCCATTGGATTTGATGTACATGGCAAACTTTGGTCCATTCACTTCAGTGGGTTTGCTCTGTGCAGAATTGCAAATGGTGGGTAAAAGGAGAACCTGCCTCAGCCTCTTATCCCTGAAGGGTTTCTTTCTCTTTGGGCCTCTTTAGCTGCTCAGCTGCCGTCTGGGGGTCTATCCCTGTGAAGATACACTGGAGCAGCTCCTCAACTGGCTGGAACACGACTGCCTGGAAGTCCGGAAGCTCAGCGTCAGAGGGATATCCCTGCTTCTGGACTCTGACATGGCAAGTGATGCTCAGAGGAGGGGGGGGGTACAGATCTTGATTCTAATCATGGCCCAGCACTCTTTTGCTGGCACAATACTGAAGGGCCTGTGCTAAAAGGCGTGAGGCCTTTCAGACCTTTGAAAAGATTCTCTCTTTTGTGTAGGACCCTTCCTTCCTGAGGGATTCCCTCTCTGATGTAGAAGCTGATGTCCTCCCAGAATTGATAGAGCTGGTAGACCAAGCCTACCATTCCAGGGAGCTGGGAGAGAAAGACCTGGAGATGCTGGCGGCAACCTACTGCGGCCTGGCTGCCCATGTGAGTATGAGGGGAAACATGACACCACACCCAATGGAGGAGGAATGCTTTGGAAGAGGAAGGGTGGGGTTTAGACTGGCATGCAGCGGAGATGTTCTGGCTTCAGGAGGGTGTTCCTGATCTGATGAGAAACACAACCTCTGATATTTTCTGCCTATAGGAGGAAGCCTCCGTCCGGGAATCAGCCATCGAACATCTGGGGCTGCTTCGGGGCTGGGCGAGAGACCAAAGACTTCCCATTACAACAACAGAAGAGGAAGCCATTCACGAACTGGTTGTGGTCCTCATTCACCTCGAAGACGAGGACCTTGAAGTGGCCAAGGTGAGGGCCAAAGAGGTGGACTTATGCAGTAGGAGGGAGGGATTGTTCTCAGGAGCTTCCGAGACTATGTACCGCAATTTGTAACCCTCTTCTCTTCTTGTGTTGCAGGCCGCAAGGAGGGCTCTTTCCCATCTAGCCCCAGAAGTCAAGTGGTGGGCTCGTTCCAACAAATTTAGCCTCCACTTTGCTCTCCACCAGGCTGCCAAGCATATGGTAAGGTCCCTCTGCCTTTGTTGGCAGCTTTGCCCAGGCATGTCTTTGGGAGTGCAAGGCTCTTCTGCTGCGCTCTCAAGCCTCTCTGATGCCACTTCTCCTTTGTCTTTGCCCACAGAGCAAGACCTTCAGCAAGGGCATCCTTCGGAGTGCTGCCTTATCATGTACGCAGCCGTCTGCCAACAGCCTGCCAGCAGTCTCCAGGGTGGCAGCTCTGCTTCTGGGTAAGTCAAGCAACGTTCTTCCCTGGTAGGGAGGGACAGAAACGTCTTGGTAACAATGGCAGGGAGGATGGACATGTCCCCAGGCCACCTGCTAGGTAGGCCTCCATCTGTGCCCAGATCTTGCTCTGAGTGCTCCGTGAGGGTGGAGGCCTCTAGAGCAGTGTTTCCCAACCGGTGTTCCGCGGCACACTAGTGTGCCGTGAGACACCGGCTGGTGTGCCGTGGGAGGGAGGCGGGCGAGTCGGGCGGCGAGAGGCGGGGCGGCGGCGGCGAGCACACGCGGGGCGGCGAGCGAGCGAGCTCCACATCCCATCGCCGCTCGCTTCGGCCGGCCTACTGGAGGAAGGCGCGAAAACCCGGCGGGCTTTTGGGTGGGCGCCAAGCAAGAAAGGCGGGAAGGCTCTGGTCCCTCCCCTCCCGGCAGGGCTCCCGCACGCACCTTTCTGCGCCGCCGCGTCCCGCCTGAGCAGCAACAGGAGGAGGAGGAGGGAGGCCAGCGCCGGCCGGGTCCCCCGGGGGAGCGGGCGCTCCGGGCTGCTCACCATACCCCGCGTCTCGGGCGCAGCAGCCGGCAGTCCGAATGCATCCCGAGCCGCGCTGCTCTCGCCTTGCCTCCTTCTTCGCGCCTCCTCCCGGCTCGCGCGCCGTCCCTGCGCGGATCCGTCCAGCCTCCGGCCGCCGCCGCCGCCCCCTCCTCTTCCTCTCCTTCCCCCACCCACCAACCCGCACGGCGCGCTCCCACCGCCCCCGATGGGCGCAACCACTTCCGGGTCCGCTGCAGCCGCCCCTTCCCCGCCTCCGGCAGCCGAAAGTCCCCCAGCGGAGCCCGTCTGGCCGCTCCCCCCGCTCCCTGCCCACCTCCCGGTGTTGAGGCGCCCTCTTTCGTTGCTTCGCGGGGAGGGAAAAAACTTTGACTTTTGTGCGTCCCTCCCGGCGTGACGCTGCGCGCTGACGTCACGGGGCGGGGCTTTAATGGTGGTGTGCCGCGAGATTTTTTTCCGGTAAACAGGTGTGCCGTTGCCCAAAAACGTTTGGGAAACACTGCTCTAGAGCATACCTGTCCTCCTGCCGAGCTGCCTCTGTCTCCGCTTGCTTTGCACCAAGATGACGTCCCTTTTCTTGCCTCTTTCTCTCTCTAGGTCATCTGGCTTTCCGGGATGCCAGTTTCATCCGCAATCAAGACATGGCATCCTATGGAACATGTGAGTGAGACGTACGGAGGGCAGGGAGGGATGCTTCTGCTGAGAAAGGTCTTCAGGGGAAGGCAAATTCTCAGATGTATGTTCAGGCAGAGGTGCCACAAGATGAACATGCAAAGAGAATTGGAATGTGACTTCACTGCTCTCTCTTACACACAAACACAGCTGACGGCTGTTTTCATATTGTTGATGGGTGGCTCTTTTCCTGTGCATCTCTGCCTTGCTCAACCTTTCTCCCTTGCCACTCAGGGCTGGAAGAGATGCAGCAGCACGAGGAAGAAGAGCTTAGGCAGACAGGGAGGAGCTGCCTGAACATCGTGCAGCGGGCCTATAGACATCGGAGGGAAGGCAGGGTCCAGCGCTTTTTGAGGAGGCTGCTCCACTGCGTTCACAGGGAACCTTACCCACAGGACTTCCTGAGCTGCATGCCAGGTGAGTGAGGCATCTGGTGGGCTATTGAGACATCTGGTGGGCTGTTTGGATGGGGCGTTTCTCAACGAGCCCCTTTCTCCTCCTGACAGAACATCCGGAGTAGCGCCAAGGCAACGTGGACACCAGAGTTGTGCTGCAGAGATACCATCTTCTGCTCTCCGCAGGATCCAGTCTGGACCAGCGCCAGGAACATCAACACCATCAGGATCGACCAAGAGGAGTGGTGCTGCCCTCACGACCCTCCGTACACAGCGGTAGGAAACCTTTTTGTTGTTGTGTTTCTTGTTGATGTTGTTTTTGATTGTTGATTTTATTCATTTTGAATCTCAGGGTGGTTCACAACACCAAGTATATGAAGCACAAAATAAATAATAGGAATAATCACTGCACAAAATTCATAATAAAAATATCAGAACATAATATAAATTAAAATAATAAAAACATACTAAAAATAGCCACAAGACCAATGTATGCACACTAATAAACAATACAAGAGCCCTGAAACAACACTCCAGCCCACAAATACAAAATCTAAATCAACGTAACACATTTAACAACCATTTAAAACAACCCCACCTTCTTGAAGAAGGCTGATATATTAGATTTAGAAGGTTGGAATACGAGGTTTGGATGGCACGCCTACCTAACATACAACAAAGTGGCAGTGCCACTTTTTTGGGGGGTTTTGGATTTTGGGTTGGGGTGTTTGGGATTCAAGGACTTGGTTCTGGGTTTTAATTTCTGTGTGGTGGGTGGCTGGGTGCTTTTGAATTTTTTGGATTTGAAGCACATCACTGATTTTTTTTTCTTTTTCTGAGTTTACGAAGGTAAGAGCTGTGCTGCCATGGGACCCAAGAAGACTGCTGCTGCGGTGGCCGGCGAGAGGAAGAAGGAGAAGGTGACGCTGGAAATGAAGAAGGAGATCATCCGGAAGCACGACGGCGGAATGCGTGTGACGGACATCGCCAGGGAGTACGGGAGGAATCCATCAACCATCGGGACCATCCTGAAGATGAGGGAGAAGATCCTGGCGACTGATGCAGCCAAGGGAGTCACCAGGATCGTGAAGAACCGCCCAGCTGTTCTGGAGGAGGTCGAGAAGTGGTCAGGCATGGAGAGGCTGCCAGTTCTGATGTTCCTGCGGCTGAAGACTTTGCAGCGGAGTTCCTGGAGGTTGTGTCCTCCAAAGAACTGAGGGACATTTGTCAGAAGTGGAAAGGTGTGCAGGCTTTTGCACAGTGGCACCACCCTGACAAGGACCTGACACGTGACCTTGCGAACAC